GTGCGTTTGGGGAGTGGTGAAGAGGGCTCTGTGCGTATGATGAGCTGGTAAGGGACCACATAAGATTTATAAGTCTGAGAGGAAGGCGACGATGGTAATCAAGATGAGCGAACCTACATACCAAGTGCATCATGTGTAGGGCGATACACAAAAGGCAAGACAGGGGGAGGGGAGCAGAGGGCTCTGAAGGGGAAAAAGGAAACAAGAAAGGCGATGGAGCAACAGCGACTACGAACCGATTTAAAATAGACATTTGGAAGTGGAAAACAAAGAGCAATCTGACCACCTGCAAGTGCAACTTCAACCTAAACATATACTCTAGCTCTTCCTTCCTGGCAGCCAATTCGCCAGCCGATAATCATCCTCTCTGTTTAGGTTCTTGATCACCACGTTGCTTAAGAGAGCTGACAAGTTTCCCAGAAGTTGTAAATTACTACCAATTTCTCAACAAGAACTAGAAAACAAGTGAAGGCTAAAAAAAAAGTTAGAAAGGCTTGGTTGAGCCCGGACCAGTTTTTCCAAACTCGTATTAAACAACAAAGCTGACTCACTATGTTATAGTTCCATTAAGGCTTCGTTTGGCCGTCCATGATCGTCATAAACGATCATGGCAGATATTTCGGGGGTGCACAGCTAATGACGGGGCCTCACGATGGTGTTTGGGAGGCCACGTCATATCGAATCTCTTATGACGGAAATGGTCAACGAGATATTTTCTCTGCCAAATCCAAGATTTTGGGTCCCCCCCAAAATTTTGCGTCATAAGTGCCGCTTCGGTGCTCTCATCACCCTCGGGCCGACTCGGCTTTCCCTTACAACAACTCCATATCACCCCCCAGCTGCACACCACCCCCTCTGACCGGCACCATGCCCCCCCATCCTCCTAAAACGCCGTTCCATCATCCACTCCCGAGGTGCACCAAACAGCCACATCGTTATTGATATGGATTTTCAGGCTGCGTCAGCTGCACAGCCTGAAAAAATCAAACCTAAATTCTGATTTGAGGATTTTCGATGACGGTCTACGAAGATTGTGGACGGCCAAACGAAGCCTAGTGATAATTACACAAAAGCGGAAAGACAAGAGCCAAGTGTTGTGCAAGAATAAGCGGATGGGGGGGCCGAACCAGAGCGTAATTACGCACCCCAGAGTACCTTGGGACCCCGACGTTCACTCCATTAAAGCACCTACCGGCCAATCGACTTGGAGTGCTGGGCTTTATTTTTGGCAATGGGAACCGGAAGAATGTTCCAAGATGAGTCAGCATCCAAGTCACTCAGCAGAGAGAGACAACGTCTGAGGAATGAGAGTTCAAGAACTGAACAACAATAAGTCACAATTGGAGAGCACTAGGTGGAGTGTGTACAGCCCGACGGTTGTTCTAATCTGTGTGTTTGTTGGTTCAGGTTGAGTCGGACAGCGAGCCAGTCGTGAATCCCGATAGAACGGCGCCCTGCAAATCGCTCATGTAAGAATAATTGTCGACTGTTCCGTGCCTGTGGAATGACCAATCGTTCCAGATCAGATAAGCTTGATGTTCCAAGCTAAGAGCCATCAAGACTTCCTATGTAGGAGCCACGGCCCTGACTACACAAACCAAGCAACCGAGAGCTGTGCTTGTAGTCCGGTTGCTGAAGGTCTTTTGCTATTAGGCTTCTGATGATTTTGGTGTGCTCTGCCAACTTGCTTCGGATGTCAAGCGCAACTGGACTCTTTGTTGCAGTAAACCATCAGGATCCGCGATGATCGGAAATTTCCGGATGGGCTGATTGCCATCGTCATGATGGCATTGCGATAAAGTGTTCATTATGTACAAGTCGTTTGCAGTAGACTGATCGGAACCAGAGACGATGAGAGCCGCCGACTACATAGCAATTGCTGCCCCGACCCGGGCAAGTTTACAAATGTCGTCCGGAGTACATATGTATACAGGCCGGTCAGCAAGAACTCACCGGAGTCACGCTACAGTCAGAGCAAAGAGCCCTTCTTCTCTAATCTTATC